TACCAATCGAGACCTACGTAAACAATATCACAACTGAATAATATATCATTAATTATAACACTTTAGTATTGAATCAACATTAAACTAGAGACTTATAACACTACAGATGCACAAAATTCTCTAATACAAACAAATAAGAACATGTTTTCAAGCTATTCTAAGTAAAATGGAGAAGTTAACAATGGATCAACAAAACTCAATTCAAAGTCAAAGCAACAAAAGTTTAAAGAAGGACAAGTTCATAGGTCAAAATTATTGATTATGAATGATCAAATACTAACCTAATTTAGGATGATCAAATACTAACCTATGATGTTCAAACAATCTACCATTGCTAACCATTAGATATAGGATCACTAATTTAAGCTAATTCGCTTTCATGACAATACCTCACATGCTAATCAAAATCTTAACATCAAATTTTACTGGTTAATTAACATCAAGTATGTATGAATCACAAGTCCGATATCCACTAAAGAACCCTAGCTAGCATCAATTCTCGTTAGCTAAGAAAGTAAATCACATTGATTGATTCTTTCAACCACTTCATCAATGGCAAGAAAAGTCTAAAGTCTAGAATTAACATTTTCCAACCTAATCTAGCATTAAACACATAATCAAGTAAGGATCTACATAAATTAAGCATCATAAATCAAGCATCACTAATCCTAATGTACCAAATCTAAGAGATAAAAAAACTTGTCACTAATCCTTAAAAATTTATGTTATTAGAAGAGTAAATAAGACAAATAAAAAAAAACTAAAATAGAAGAAAATTAACGTAAGATGAGTCCATAACAATAAAAATGTATGCTTAAGTAGTTTACGGTTTTACATTGTCCAATGGAAGTATTTATGCTAAAAAGACATAGTTTAGGACAAAGGGGCATTAGCGGCCTAGCTTCTGGCCGCTAAACCTTCTTCTTAACGGCGATGCTTTGGCCGCTAGATAAGGCCATTATGCCCCTGGTGGATTTTCGACATATTCTTCGATGTCTTTTCATGACATGATATATATATATATATATATATATATATATATATATATATATATATATATATATATATATATATATATATATGCCTTCAGTAAATCGATCATAACTCTTTCAATACAATTCCAAATTACTTGGAAGCACCGCCATTGAAAGCTAACACAATTTCCTATGTCTTGGAAAATGATGAGATTCAGAATAAATAGCTAAGACCTTCAATCATGTTGATATTTCAATCATTTGTGGTTTAATTCGCTCCAAACCCAGTAGAACCGCTCTAAAACCTGACAACACTCAAATGCAATGTAAATAAAATTCAATGTGATGAAAATGAATGACTAAAATCTATATTATAATAGTAGAGTTTCTAGGCTCCACAACGCGCCACGTCAGCAGTTTTGTGGGGCCCGTAGGTATTTTTTTAAAAATCTATAGACTTGGTATGATGATTATGAACAATGAAATACACTTTAGCCAAGTGGTATAAGGTGTCCAATTAAGCATGCAAGATCGTGGGTTCAAACCACGCAGCTATCATGTATTTTTGATTTTTTTACTTGAGTTATTATCATATGGGCTTTTTGTTTATAAAGTTTTCATGTATTTTTTGGGCTTATTTTTTAAAGATCAAAATAGTTGGATAAACCCTAAAGTTTAACAAGTTCAAACCCAAAAATAGTTAAAAATAGATCCAAAAACGAACAATAAAAAACAAAAAAAAAACAAGTCCCACGCGGTTGCATACGCGGATGGCTTAAAGAACCTTAAAACTATCATATTATAATATAACTTAACCCAAAAATAATAAAAAAATGGATCCAAAAACGAACAGGCCAAAAAAAAAAAAGACACGCGGCTGCCTACGTGGATGGCTTAATGAAGCTTGAATAATATAGATTAATAGCTCAAAAATTTAATCCTTGCACAGATTTCCTAATATATATTTTCAAAAAAAATTGTATGTAAGATAAAATTAAAAAAAACAACAAAATTTAATTATTTTTTGTTATTTATTAAATGAATATGTAATTTCTCTTACATTTTAATAACTACTATAATTTCATTGAAAACATTCCTCACCACCGATTCCAGACCCTGGTGAATGGATTCCCACAGCCGATGACGCCGTAGATAAAAATGCCACATCATTTATGAACAAAACTCAAACTTACAAAAAACCATATATAAAAATCTATCTAATGAAACTTAAACAACGAATATTAACTTAATTAAGGTTATTTTCAAATTGATAAATCGTTGTATACAAATATAAATACTATAAATATAGAATTATATCAAGTTTTGACCTACAATATAAAAAATTATTTACAGCAAAAAAAATAAAAAATAGACACCTACTTTTACACACTAAAAATTATATTATAGCCTAACTATTCCTATAAACCTTACTTCACATATAAATAACATTTAACACATTATATATACAATATTTTCACTTTACATTCTTTCAATTTCATTATTATTTGGTGTTATTAGAAGAATCCACTAAACCAACAATCAAAAAATATTGCAAACACAATGATCCCAGCCCCGCGCTTGCACCTATCTTTTCTCATTAAACATGTGTTTGTCCCAAGTGGAAGTCGATGTTGTTTGATCTTGATTTTTTTCTGAAAATATTCTGAAATTCACATTCTCCACCTTTGTCTTCTTATCAAAATCTCTATTTTCCACCCATTCTCTCTTCCTTTCATGAAACCCGAACATCACTGTCTTCCTTCAGCGAATGTCATTTCTGTCTTTCATGCTCGTTATTCTTCTTTTCTGGTCCTTTGAAGAATGATATGTCCCTTTCATGCATACCTCTCCTAAGACAGCTCCAACGAGGGTCTTCCTTATGTGTTTCTCATGCTCAACTATAGATGCAGATTCAACCACCTACTTTTGCTGCACGGATACACTTGGAGTAATACCTTCATGGCCGGTTCACTTTGAAATTGGATCCTGAGCCAAAATAAATATCTTGTGAAGATTTATATATAATACTTATTAAAATATACATGTTATTCAACAAATTTTCAAAAATTTATAGCCCTAATTTGTATAGTAAATTTGATAGATTAAGGGGCCCTGTGCAAATGCACTTTTGGCACACCCTCTAAGCCGGCATTGAATACCTTTAACTGAATATGCTGTCGATTTAAACTTTATATCTCTGAACATTCACTCCTGTGTTCTTCTTTTTCTGGTGAGATGATCCAGTCGAAATTATTTTCCCTTTGAACCTTTCATGCGAGAACTGTAAAACTTGCTCACACCTGCTCAATCTACTATCCATGTAGTCCATTTGTTAGTAAATCAGCTGGATTTACCAAAGTATGGATATTGTTTAGAGAGAGATCCTCATCTTGAATAACAACCCTCATGAAGTATATAATCGTATCAATGTTCTTAGTTCTCTCATGGAATCCTCCAATTTTAGCTACGTGAATAGCTCTCCGAGAATCCAAGAAAACATTAACATCATCATGAATTCTACCCATACCACTATCCATATCTTTCAACCACACGAACCTTACTTGAATGCTTCACTGAAATTCATGTATTCTGGTTATGTAGTAGAAAGAACTACTACGTGCATGGTAAAGTCTTGATCTCCAACTAATGCTGTTCCCTCCAACCTTAAAAGTATCATGTTATTTGTCTTTTATTTCAAGATCAGTAGCGTAATCGGCATCCACAAACCTTCTATCGTAAAAATTGAGTTCTTAGTGAATGTGAGAAGTTAAACTTAAAGGAAATAGCAGCATTCAGGCTTAAACGTTCGATTTTCATTTCGTTTTGGTTCTAGTATTTTAGTTTCTTTTTTTTTTCAGTTTTAGAAATTTTAAGAACGGTTTGGTTATTTACAAAATCGGTTCGGTTTTGATTTGGTTATATCAGTTTTGATTCCATTCAGTTTTGTTTCGGTTATAATTTTGGTACAACTTGGTTCTTCAGTTCCAGATAAATGTGCCAACCCCTAACAGAATGCAGTTGATTATTCTATTTTGGTGTAGCTATTCAGATCATTTCTTATTTGAATAATAGAACGATTTGTTCTAACAAAGGTGTGTTGTTAAAACTGATATATAAATTAATATATCTCTATTTAATATATGTTTAACTAAATGAGAGTAATTAAAATAAAATATTTATTGGTTATTAAATAGGGTAAATAATAGATCTAATGTACAAAATTACATTGGAATTATAGAATGACACTTTTTTGAAACAAAATAAAAAATGAAAGTAACACTTATCATGAAACAAATGGAGTATTAATTAAGATGGTTGTCGGATTTTAGGAATTGTTTTTTTTATGAAGTGTGCTCGCTAGATAATATAATGGGAAATTTTACTTCTACTACAAGTTGGATATCACTTTTCAAATTTTCTGAATGACTATTTTCACAAATATCCTAAATTTGTGATAAAATTACATTAAGTTATTTTTTTTTAAATATTTATAAAACATTTATAAATCCAACCCCTTAATACTAAACCCTAAACAATAATCACTAAAGCATAAACCTAATATTAGTATATTTTTTGATTGGTGATACTTTTGAAAAATGGTACTTATTTCTAACAATATCTCATACTATAATGATTCAAATCTGTAACAGCTTTCCAGCTAATATGTTAGGTCACTATAGCAATAGGTGTTACTGATTGGTGAGTTACTAGTTCATTGGAATACTATCTCTTATTCATTTTTGGATATAACACATTGGGTGTCAACTTTTACTTACATTCAAATTATTTTCTTGAGAAACTTGAGATTTTCACGTTGAAACTTTAATATATATATATATATATATATATCAGTTTTTACACTATATCTTAACAGGGTTCATCAGTTTGGACTGTGGGCTACCCTCGAACGAAGTATCTCCTTATATCCATCCGAAAAGTGGATTAATATTCTCATCAGACTCAAACTTTATCCAAAGTGGAAAAAATGGAAGAATTGAAAAAAAACTAGAGGAAGAGTACATAAAGATGGTGTGGACGTTAAGATATTTTCCAGAGGGAAAACGCAACTGTTACAGTTTCAACGTCAAGCAGGGAACAAACTATTTGATTAGAGCTAGATTTCTCTATGGGAATTATGACGGTCTTAATCAGTATCCTGAGTTTGATATACACATAGGACCAAATTTCTGGAAATCACTGGATATGAGTACGGCGGATGGCAACTTATTGGACGAGATCATTCACACTCCAAGATCGAACTTCTTGGATGTGTGTCTTGTGAAGACAGGCCCGTCTACGCCATTTATTTCGGCTTTAGAACTAAGGCCTTTACCGAATAACAGTTATATCACTACATCGGGTTCATTGACCTATTGGACGCAGTACTATATTAGTGATTCAGTTGGCACTATAAAGTAAGTCATCTTTACGAGAAATCCTTCGTTTATGTTTTTTTTTTTTTTTTGCATTGGTTTTGAAATTCATATTCACATATCAGCATAGTTAAAACATATCAGTCATAGTAAAAAATAATGCATTGCGTACTAAGTAATGATTTTGATGTATGATTTAATATATATTTTGGTGTTACCTAAACTATAGTTCAAAACTTTTTTTAAAAGAGATACTAGATTTTGATCCGCGCATTTTAAGCGCGAAAATTTTTTATGATTAAAAATTTATATAATTGGGTTTTGTCTTAATTTAAAGAATATTTTGATATAAAATCAGCTCACCAAAATTTGTGGTGATGATTGTTTTTCATTAGGTTTTAGTTTTACTTTTTATTTTTTGACTTTGGTTTTTGGTTTTTAGTTTTTAAGTTTCTACTTTTCATTTTCAGTTTTTGGTTTGGGTTTTTAATTTTTAAACCCGCTAAGTTAGTTTGAACTGATATTACCAACAAACAAATCTCAAATAATCGAACATCTAATTTAAAACTGAAAAGATTAAAACAAATTTAAAAAAAAAAATTTGAAATAGTTTATTTTGTAAATAAACTAAGCAAAAAAATATAATATGTGTTTTCAGCTTTTGGTTTTGGATTTTAGTTTTTAGATTTGGTTTTGGTTTTGCTTTACATTTTTTAATCAGTAAATTATTTAAGAAAAATAAAACAATAAATTATTTAAAAGTTACAATTGAAATTTATCAAAACAAAGTGATTTTATTTAAAATAAAAATATATTAACAAGTTCTAAAGTACATGATTTAAATAAATGATTAATAATAGATAATTTTGTTTTGTTAAAAATATTAAATACCTTTTGGGTCTGAAAATAATAATTGATTTTTTGATCTTTTAAGGTGAAAAGTTTATTCAATGTTTTTTGGAGTTTTTTCTTAATACTAAGCCCAAAAACCAAACCATATAATTTGTTCAAAAAATAAAAGTAAGCCCAAGACTATATTCCATAAATAACCACTGGTTTAATTTAAGTATAATTAGTAGATTTTCATATTCCATATTTTGATGATATATATTTTTAAAAAATATTCCATATTTGTACGAGAAAATATGTGTTTTTGGTATACACATAGATATCTGCCGTATTTTGAAGGTAGTTTACATCAAGGTCGTCTTTTTACATTAATTGTGTTGGTTTAATTTAAGTAAATACGGTTCAATCAATTATATATGACTTATATTATTTGTAACATTTTAAAAAGGGTCCCAATTTAAATGACAACTTGTATTAGTAGATTAAAAGAATGACTCTATTTTAATAGAATAGATAAGTGTATCCCATGTTTTTTGAATCTGTTATATGTGATATTTTTTCTTATAAAGTTGGAAATCTTTTGAGTCCATGTGCTCATAAAGACTACGGGTCATAATACAAATTATGGTAATGACAGGTTCCCAGAAGATCGCTACGACCGAATATGGCTCCCATACCTTGACGAAAAATGGCAGAAGATTTCCACTAGTAGCTTGATAACCAACGTCACCAACACGGATAGCTTTAACTTGCCGCAGGGTATAATCACAACCGCTGCAACACCTGTGAATACGAGTGAATCATTGACATATACGGAGGTTCTCCAGACTTCTAGTGATAAAATTTTCTATTTCCTCCACTTCTCTGAGGTTCAAGTATTAGGGGCAAATGAGACCAGAGAGTTCAACATTTCGTGGGATGGAAAAGTTATATCTGAGAGTTTTAGGCCTGCATATCTGCAGCCCAAGACGATATACAATCCATATCCCGTTACATGTGAAGACCACGGCGAATGCGTCTTAGAGCTGACAAAAACATCGAAGTCTACTCTCCCACCTCTGCTTAACGCCATCGAGGTTTATGTTGTCGTCGACTCTCCACATTCTGACACAAATGAAAATGATGGTACGTTAGAAACTGTTATTGAATGATTTAATATAACATCCAAGTTTTTAACTCAAAACATATACGGTAAAACCTCTATAAATTAATAATGTTAGAGATTTAAAAATTTATTAATTTATTGAGATATTAATTTACAAAAAAATTTAGATTTTTTTTTATTTTAAAATATTCTAAGGTAAAAAAAATTATTTGATTTTAGTGTATAAACATTAATTATTATTTTTAAAATTTGACATTTATATTAATTTTATTAGATTATTTGGTGTATATATATATTGCATAAAATTTAAATGTGATTTTAGATATAATATTACTAAACCTCATCAAAATTATAGTAAGTGTTACGAAAATATAGAGATAACTTCACTGTAAATATAAAATAACAATATTATGTAGGTTTTTACCTATATAAAATATGTATATATATAGATTATTAATTTATAACTTTAATGGGATCATATATTTACATAGAAATTTCTAAAAATAATATTTTCTTATTATTTTATTGATTTGTGTCAAATTTTGAACCGGTACAAATTATGATGGACGAAATTTATTAATTTATAAAAAATATTAATTTATTGAGTATTAATTTATAGATGTTTTACTCTATGGGCTAAATCTAACATACGACCAAACTTTATCACAGTAATTACTATCAGAAACATCAAAGCCACCTATGGATTAAAGAAAATTTCATGGCAAGGAGATCCATGCGTCCCACATGAGTTTTTGTGGGACGGTCTGATTTGCAATACAGTAGATACGTCTACACCACCGTTCATCACTTCCTTGTGAGTACTTTTTATCACACTGTTTTTATAAAAAAAAAAAAAAATTCAACATTTCTTATTAATTAGGTAACTGCCCTTGTATGAACAGAAATTTGTCATCAAGTGGATTAACTGGAACCATAGCAGATGGAATTCAAAATCTTACCTATCTAGAAAAACTGTAAGTACCATCATCAGATTTTGCAAATAAATTGGGAAATCTCATACATTGAAACATTAATTAGTTCTAATCTTGTCTTAAAAATTACAGGGACTTGTCAAATAACAGTCTGATTGGTAAAGTGCCGGAATATCTAGCAAACATGAAATTTTTGACGCTTTTGTAAGTGCTGACTATTTCTTTTTATTGGTAGTATTACTCTTTCTCATGTCTCATACATATATAAATAAATATTTCACAGAAACTTGAGCAAGAACAATCTCGATCTGAATGGTTCAGTTCCAAAAGCTCTTCGTGATAGAGAAAAGAAAGGACTTAAGATTATGTAACTCCTCCAACTAACATCCAATTAATTATCACTCTGTTATTGCATCCAGAATCCTAAGAACACTGATTAACTTGTTCTATAGTGTTGATGAAGATGATAAAAAACCATGTTTATCTGGCTCATGTGCCCCAAAGAAGAAATTTCCTGTCATGATTGTTGCTGCGGTAGTTGCTTCAGTGGTTGTGATCATAATGGTGGTATTGGTTCTCTTTTTTGTGTTCAAAAAGAAAAATACATCTAGTCACGTGGAAGGTATTTGCCAAGAGTAGCCATGATCCAGTCACAACACACACACACACACACACACACATATAGGTTTCACAGATATATATAAATTTTTGTACTGACTTTTTTTTGCTCTACAGCTCTACCACAGCCATCAACTACTCCGCGGCGCGCAAATGTTCCATCCACTGGTACATCTGATCCATCGATCGAGACAAAAAGGAAACGGTTCAGTTATTCTGAGGTTATGGAAATGACAAACAACTTGCAAAGACCACTTGGTGAAGGAGGGTTTGGCGTTGTCTATCATGGTGATCTAAATGGTTCCCAACAAGTAGCTGTCAAACTACTTTCTCAATCATCAGCACAAGGTTATAAAGAATTCAAAGCAGAGGTGTGAAGTGCTTTAAATCTTCCTTAAATCGCAACAAATAAATAATAAAAATATTTGGCATAGGTTTATAGCATCATGTTTAACCAATGTGTTAAATACGTTTCTTCATTTTTTTTGTGTACAGGTCGAACTTCTGCTAAGAGTTCACCATATAAATTTAGTGAGCCTTGTCGGATATTGTGATGAAAAGAATCACTTGGCTCTTATCTATCAATACATGTCCAATGTCGACTTAAAACATCATTTGTCAGGTGAAAGATGTATATCCAATATCAGGATATTATTTTCTTAGGTTACCAAAGAAATGCATATGATAACTGATTATATATTTATGACTGACTATCATTTACAGGAAAAGTTGGTGGTTATGTACTGAGTTGGGGTAGCCGACTACGGATAGCCATCGACTCTGCACTAGGTTAGTGTACTGAACTGGAACAGTCTTAATCAATTTTGAAGGGATAATTGGATATTTTCCGTTTCATAATTTCAGATTCTTATTAAAAATATGAAGAGATGATATGTTGGCATAATATAGACATTAACTTTCTCATGCTTATAGGATTAGAATATTTACATATCGGATGCCAACCGTCAATGGTTCACAGAGATGTTAAAAGTACGAATATATTGCTGGATGAGCACTTCGTAGCGAAAATTGCAGATTTCGGACTTTCAAGATCTTTCCAACTCGGAGTAGATTCTCATGTTTCGACAGTTGTTGCTGGTACCCCTGGATATCTTGATCCGGAGTAAGTATATTTGTTCATTCTTGGATTTGAACCTTTCTTAAATATAATGGTGACATTATACCGACATGCATCCACACTAAATAGATACAATCGGCAAAGTTCAGAGCATGATTATCCGGAGTTTTTTAGGGTGGGTTTCTTAGGGGAATATAAGAAATTGTTTTTTAATTTTTTAGTTAAAAGTTAAGAAACAGTTTCTTATATTCCCCTAAGAAACCCGTCATAATAAACCGTGGATAATCATGGTCTCACAACACTTCAACATGCCAAAGTCTCGATATTTCATTTTAGTTGGTATGATACTTTAGTTAACACACATGAATTGTATTTCATGATCTTGTCTTACCAGATATTACAGAACAGGTCGGTTGGCTGAGATGAGCGATGTCTACAGTTTTGGGATTGTATTGTTAGAGATAATCACAAATCAATGCGTGATTGACCAAACCCGTGCACAATCTCACATAACAGAATGGACAGCCTTTATGCTCAATAGAGGAGATATTACCAGAATCATGGATCCTAACCTTCACGGTGAATACAACTCTCGTTCGGTTTGGAGAGCTCTTGAACTGGCCATGTTGTGCACAAACCCTTCTTCTGATAAAAGACCAAGCATGTCTCAGGTTGTTGTCGAACTAAAAGAGTGCCTTGTTACTGAAAACTCAATGACAAGTAAGAATCACCATGTGGACTCACAAAGTTCCCTTGAAATGAGCATGAGCTTTGATGCCAAGGCTTTCCCAAGTGCAAGGTAGTACTTTTGGAGAAAAGGCTTTGTTGGCTTTGTTGTATTTTTGCTTGTGTTATTGATGAGACATCATAACCAAACAAGAGAGTATAAATATGTAAACACATTTGATTTCACGTTCCCTCTTTTATTTTTAATACATTTACTATGAATTTACGAAAGGGAAATTGAATCGTATAACTATCAAACAATTAATAATTCACTCAATGTACAATTAACCTAATTTTTCACTGTATCGCGTGCCTTTTATATAATATGGCCATATTACCCTCTATTTCAACCGGTAAAACCTGCAAAGAAAAAATAAATAAATTAATGCTTATTTTTTTTGGAAAATCGTAATTTCTTCTTGGTAAAATTGGAGAAAGTGATTAGTCTCACTCCGAGATTTAATCCACCGCCTCCATTTTTGGAATATCTTTGACTAGGAGAAGTATGTATGTCGAAGCTCTTTGCCTGACTCATAAATCTACGGAGCCACCAAGGATGGCACCGCAGCGAGGTTCATCATCTCTTCTCGAATCACCTTCACCTCATCTTTTTCGTGAAGATCCTTTCACTTACGGTAAGTTCTGGTTGTCGGCTTGATTTATCTCCACCACGAATACTTTTATCTGTTATTTGTATTACCTTGGGAACAATTTCAATCGATTGGTCAAATCTGACAATATTTTTTATGTTGTATGTCGGCTTATCTCCTTGTAAACGCAATCCAAAGATGAATTTAGTATTTTTTTTTCGTTTTGACGGTTTTTTTTTGTCTATTTTGAAATCATATTTGTTACTCAAACTAAATCGTATTGCGTTGCCAAATTTGGTTGTTTGTTAGTTGATATTTCTCTGGGTTACTATACTACTTCACAATAACATAGTATAACATGGATGTTTAACAGCGTATATTTTCTAGCTCTTAATACGAAATTACCTTTCCTCATTTACCAACTTTTTATTTTTTAAGTTTATACTAGATTTTGATCCGCGCAACCGCGCGGGTGTTTGTTTTCGTTTATAGTTAGTTATATAAACATTTTATTTTCACTTGTAAATTGGTATATATTATAGTGATCACATATTTACGATATGTATAGTAAATGTTTTTCCAACATAATAATATTATATAATACATGTTTTAATCAAATAGATTGTTTCAAATTTTCTATATTGCACATGTTTTTCAAACATGTGTTTGTTTCTTCTTCTATATTTTATTGTTTGTTAGATTAGTATTTCATTTTTAGATAAAGTAATATAAATAGTGTTTGATTAAATATTAGTATATTTTAATTTGCAAAGATAATATAAACTTTGAAGAAATATTTGCTAAAAACTAAACTTATAGCTTCATAAATTAATATTATAAAGAATTTTATTAAAACGAACTTTTTAAACAATTTCTTTTTTTAAATCAATATAATTTTAAAAATTTACATCGAAATAAATTTATCTAGTATATATAGCATGTAAATTTTGTTAGGGTATATAAATATTCCATATTACGAATCTGTGATTTTTGTTAATATATTTCCTTATAAATAATAGAAGATTCCTAAACTTATATCTATTGAAGGTGTGTGGTAATTTACCTAAACCAAATTATTAAGCGTATCTTTGTTATTATAGATATGATTTTTCATAAGATATAATAATGATAAGATTATTAGAGAATCATGATTTTCTAGTAATAGTCCATTTTTAAAAAAATCACACATGAAGTCAAGTCATGAATTCTATTTTAATATATAAGATTGGTGTATCCAGTTCTGGTACACGTTAGGTGTAATCAAGGGTTTGGTGGCAAATTTTTACTATGTAGTCATAAATATAGACTTAAAAACTCTTTAAAAGTAAAACTATGTCAAGCTTGATCTCTAACTGATTTAGTCGAACAAAGCTTAGAACTATTGGAATCATTGTTTGTTAATTCAAATCATAAATTTTTTTTTTTTAATAATTTTTTTTTTTTTGATAAATTCACCTTTTTTAAGTAGAACTAGTGGAATTATTCTATTCACTTCAGTTTTGAATTTAAAGCTAACTTTTCAAACTCTAGAAATAAAAGCATATCATGGGCCAATTTAGGGGTACAAGCCCACAATAGAAACGATACGATACGTGTTTACAATTACAAATGTAGTTCAGCTTTGTTCTGTCTGAAGCGAAGCAGTCACCACTCACCGAGGGAGAATAACAAATCTACAGTAAGAGAGAAAAAATGAGACTATTCGATCCATGGCCGGTGTTCTTCAAGAGGGAGTGGAAGCGTTGCTGGCCTTTCCTCACCGGTTTCGCCGTCACCGGCGTCCTAATCACCAAGTTAAGTGCTGGTTTCACTGGTAAGTCATACGATCTCCTCTTGATTCGACAAAGATCATAATTTTTAAATGGGATCTATGTTTGTCTGAATCGTATTTTGATTGTGGAAACCCTAATAATTTCAAAAGTGGTGTTGATTTTACAGAGGAAGATGCCAAGAACTCCAAATTCGTCCAGCAACACAGAAGGTAAACAAAAAACACTCACCTTACCTAATAGATAGTCTTTGGATATTTCAAGTTTTTGTTGTGTTGATTTGTTAACTCGCTGCTTGGGAGATGATTCGATTGTAGAGCTTTTAGGAATAATGTGAGAATTAGGATCGAAGTCGACTAATTTCTTAGAAATGTTTATTAGAGGGTACATTAGATCTCAATTTGATTTCCTTTTGCTGTTCTTGCGGTTTTGCTCTAAGTAGAGGAATATCAGATTTTGATTGTTTTTCTATTGACTCTGCTTAATGCTTGTTGCCAGCTAAACCCTAAACATATCAACTTGTTTTTTTTCCAGGTGATTTGCAGACTCAAAATGTAGAAGTTGAGAATCTCGAAGGGTTGATGATGCTTCTGCTTTCCAACAATACTTTCAATAACTTGAATTCCTTGCTGTTTTTTTTTTGTTGAAACAATAATCTGAATTTTTTGTACACTGGATTCAGTTCTTTATCTCAAACTTGGCAATGCAAATTTAGTTTTGTTCATTGTATATCACCTTCCCGTGCTTTTGGAATTGATTAAAGAGCACATTTCAACAACATTGTCTCCCCCAAATGAAGTTTAATCATATGTTCTAATCACACTTTGGTTCCTAATCTCAACTAGTCATATTCCCTATTGATAGAGCTTGTATCTTTTTTTGTAGAGTGTTTTCTTTAGTCTTTTCGTAGCCACAAACCCACATATGATAGCTGTAGCAGCAAACGCAATATCAAGAAAGTAAAATTTTTCTTCTTTCTTTTAGTGTAAATATCTTTCTAATCTTTATTTTCCTCTGGCTAACAGTTCCGAATGTAGAAAACAGAAGCATACTATATATGAAACCAACCACTAGCGTCATGGATAGTGAAAAGTAGAAAATTGACTTATAGTGCAGTGCATTCATGTTTGCATCTGATGATTATTGATCCAAAAGTTTTTAATTCTTGGGGACACCGAGCCTTTGCCTGAAATCTTCTTCCATAAGAGGAAGGCCATCACGGAGCTTCACCTTTGGTTCCCACCCCAACACTTCTTTAGCCTTTGTGATATCTGGCTTCCTCTGTCTTGGATCATCCGGCGTGTTCTCCACCATCTTTATCTCTATGCTCGGGTTTATCAGCTGCAACCATATCATTTACCAGACCACATAAGACTCTGAAAAAACTTGATCAAATAAAGAAAAAAACTACTCTTACCTCCTTTACTGTCTCTGCTAGTTCCACCATCGTAAACTCACCTGAGATATATTCAGAATTTAAGACACAAACCATAAGTGAAGATATTGGTGGTATAGGAGTGCTTACCTGGGTTACCGATGTTGATTGGACCAGTTTCATCTCCTTCCATGAGACGCATTAGTCCATCAACCATGTCAGATACATAACAGAAACTACGTGTCTGTGTCCCAGGCTTCTGAACAGTCAATGCCTCACCCCTATATATGAATAATCATTCCAAATTACAACTTGTAAAAAGAACAAAAACTTGTTAGACGTTGAGGGAAAGGGTATCACCTAAGTGCCTGAGCAATGAAGTTGCTTACGACACGGCCATCATCTATGTTCATGCGTGGACCATAAGTGTTGAAGATTCTAGCAATGCGGATTTCTACAAAGAACAAACAAACAAACAAACACAAGGTAAGGAACAGAAAGACAATGAGATAAAATCTTGATGAAAATAGATGCAACAGACCAATTCCATGTTGCCTGTGGTAGTCAAACATTAAAGTCTCAGCAACACGCTTGCCTTCATCATAACAGCTCCTAACCCCTATTATATCATACCATTCACTTTGTCAGATAAAGAAGACATAAATTAAGAGGTGATGATGTGTCTGAGCCCTACCAATAGGGTTAACGTTTCCCCAATAACTCTCAGGCTGCGGATGAATGAGAGGATCTCCATACACCTCCGAGGTCGAGGTAAGCAAAATCCTGTTCAAAACAAGGAATAAAAATCAAAAATACTAAGTAAGGAATAAAATTTGTGAACTATAATAATAATCCCAAACCTTGCACCAACACGCTTGGCAAGACCAAGCATGTTAAGTGTACCAATAACATTAGTCTTGATGGTCTTAACAGGGTTGTACTTGTAGAAAATAGGAGAAGCAGGACATGCTAGATGGTAGATCTGATCAACCTCAATCAACAGTGGCTCCGTCACATCTGTTAACCAAATAAAAATGTTGATGTTCTCTGGACATAAAAGCAGAGCGAGAAGAGGAATAATAATTACCGTGACGGATAAGTTCGAATCTGGGATGACCGATCCATTTCTTGAGGTTGTCTTTTGAACCGGTGAAGTAGTTATCAGCGACAATCACCTCATTCTTTTCGTTTTCCATTAGCTTGTCGACGAGGTGTGAGCCGATGAATCCAGCTCCTCCGGAGATCAATATCCTCATGTTCGACTACACACACAAGTGATTGAGTAAACGAAACAAATGAGTAAATAGGGATCACACCACATAACAAAGGTGGATCAAAACACGTGATTCGAGCACGTGATCAAGGTGTGATGAAATTGATTAAGGGGGCGGTTAGAGAACAAATGGAATTGAAACAATAATCGATAATTTTTTCTGATCAGAAGCTGACCTGGAAAAACTTGGAATTGCGGAGAGGTGAAGGGGAAGGTGGAGGTTTGGGGCTGCTTTGTTTCTCACTTGTCGCCATTTTCTGAGAGATCACCAAGAAATTAATCAACAGAGAAATTTAGATATTTCGATTAGAGAGAGACGGAGAGAGAGAGAAATTACGAGATCGCTTATGAAACCCTAAATCAAGTTGGTGTGATGTGAAGAATGCGAGGGATCTCTGTATACTTTATAGTCAGTCCCTTCCAAGTGTCAACGCATGTTTTGAATATATTTCGGGAATTTTAAGATTTTTTAAAATTTTTAATATGATTTTAATACTAAAAATTCAAGAGGAAATTAATAAAATTTAGGTGAGTTAAGATGAGACTTCAAAACACGAAAGTCGGATTTATTTAAGAATGAAACTAATGTGTGGTATCTAATTGATTATGGCAACATTTGACCAACCGAAGATTTGATGTGCCATTTCCTAAAACTCATAAGCTATTTCCTCTTGTCAAGGTTTTTCTTTCCTTTTATAGAATAGAAAACTTGATGAAATGACTAATCTATTTTACACCTCTACGATTGATGTGTTTACGGTTCTCTTGGGGCAGCTTTAAGGTCGTTTTTCATATGTAGGTTAGGCGTACATCCAAAGCAGTTCACAAAAGAATGATAATTTTTACCTTCCATCTTTTCATTATTTCCTTCTAAACCAAACATCGATAACTATCGCAAAACTGTACAGTATTATACAAAAGATCCTAATATCGAACACCATCTAAATCTACTGTAAATAATTAAAGGCTAAATAATATGTTGATCTTCTTAATTTTATTCAAATTTGAGAGATACAGCAAATAAACGATTTTTGTTTTTGCGTTTTAGAACTAATAATCAAGAAGATTTGTTTTCTTCTTGCCTTCACTTATGTTGACTGCAATTTTGTATCATTACGAGTAAAACAATAGTTTTCATATCATTATCAAAAGGAAAAATGCAGTAAATTTCCACCGGATGTTGTCATGTTGATGATGAAACTTTTCATCAGTGATGATGTCTCACTTCATCGATTAATCTTCGTTTAATATAAGACCTTAGACTTTATAAACAATGACTACGTCTTTTCCCCAAATTACAATAAGGTATTAAGGCGCAAGCTTTATGTCTTTCCCCAATAGATTCTTAGTATCCCTCCCTCCATACCATACCACAGTTATTATGGCTGGTTTATTCACTAATGACTATATATATCAACGCATACCACAGTAACTAATGTACAGAAATGTCACATAGGCATCTGCCTAAAACAGTGATTATGGCTGGTTCTTACCTCACGGAAAGCTTAAAAGGGCCTGCTCTCGGGATCGAGGAATCCAGCTAGTAGTGCACCCAAGAGCCAAAGCATGAGTACGAACACTATTGCTGTTCGCAGGACTTGGTTACATACGTTTGGGCTCGGGTCGTCTACATAGACCAAATCACGAGTCTGGTTATCGTAACTCCAGCGGCTGACGTCTACATTCTCTGTCTCTCTCGAGCTTCCTCTCTTGCCTCTCGTGTGTGTTTGTGTTTGTGTTTGTGGTTGTGATGGATCTTGTTCGCTGAGATTCGAGCATCTTTTGCAGTTGCAGTCGCTGCCAAGGTATGAAGGAAGCGTCTGGAGATATTCAGAGAGGATTTGGTGGAAATTTTCTCCTTCAATTCTCAGTTTCTTGCGTGTAGTTGGTCTGAGAATCTATGAAAGGGGAAGATACATTTAGGCAAGTGAAAAGCAACGATGAATAGATTCAAAAACAAAAGACTAAGAAAAGCTCAGCTAGGATTTTTTACTTGGATGAATGTCTGCGAAATGACTCGGACAACAGGAGGAAGACGAATGATGAATAGGCAGCCAAGACGGTTAGGGAAGTGATCTTGAAGAACTGAAGAACATGATCTCAACATCTGCATCGGAATCCTCAGAGGAGATAATCCTTCACAATCCACTAGTACTGTAAGTTCTGAATTCTCGGGGTTTAGAAGATGCAAAACACCGTGCTCTACCTGAGAAACTGAGAATAAAACAGAAAAAAATGAACTTGATTAAAAGGATAACGTAGCAAAGACAATACTGGAAGTTGCCAGTAATGACGTACTGATTGCCTGAGCGAAACGAGGTCTTTCATGAGATGGCAACTTTAGGAAAGCAAGCCCCAAGCGGACAATGAGGCAAGGTCTTTGGTTACTGTCATATCCATGCCAAAAGACTAAACTTGACCATGTCTCAAGTTCTTCTTCTGATAGGATTCTGTAAGTCTCCCTCCACTGGATTGTCTTCTTTATTGAGGATAGTAAGGATGTGAAGTCTCCATTTGATACTCTGTAGAATCTATGAAGCTCATCTTCATTGAGTCTACATTAAAATGAGACAGAAAGATTGTGATAAGATTTAATGTTTAAACACAAAGAAGGGAGTTTTTGACCAGAAAAAAAAACACAAAGAACGGAGAACTACAAATAACATTAAAATTTGACAGTACCTCTCTGGCAAGCTAAGTCTCTGCTTTTCCAGTTCTTTGTAGAGTTGTGTAAGCCAGTCTTGTGAAGTAACAGAATCTGGAGCCTCATCTTCAATTCTGCATTTACAGAAAATTTAAGATACGTAGCAAGATATATATATAAATAATGCGCAAAATATGGCTATGGTGGTTATTAATTTCAGCGGATTTGCAAAGCTTCAAGTACTAAAAATTCAAGTTGTACACTCCCAGGCTATTATATTACAATCTGACAAGACTTTGACATCATGCACCTTATATCTGATGGAGACTGAGACTCCTGCGGCTCAGACTGTGATTCTGCAGATGCATGAGAGGCGGTACCTCCCGGGGCTTCTTGCTTTACCTCTGACTGATCTGTAAGAGCCTCAGCAATCGTGAGAACCAATAATGGCCGAGACAACATCTGCATCAAAGATTATAACAATCAAGTAAGAACACCTAAAGAGCTCTGCACATATAATTTGAGATGATAGCAATATCATGATACATAAACTTAAAGAGTAAAAAAGATCACGGAACTACTAGTGACCAGGATTCCTCAGACTATATTGTATCACTAATCAACGTGTTGCCACCATAACACAAAAAAAGAAGACAATAATAAGCTTTAGCATGTCTCAAATGATAAAGTTGAAAATGGTGGAAAAGCCTATATGCTTAGGACCTAAAACGATCACCATTCACTACTAGTTTCATTCATTCTTAGTTAGCTTAGGACCTGCATTGCCTTGATCAAGTCCTTGAAGGGAGCCCATCTCTGAATCCACTTAAGAGGAGGGTAACAGAGACACTGCAAAGCCTGAAGACCGTTCCACAGATGAGGACACTTGGCCTTTGAAACTCTTCTAACAACTTCCAACACAGCCACTTTGAGCAAAAAAACGGCAGCGTTTTGCACAACGCCGCCACTGCTGATCCCGCCGTTACTTGGGAGAGAAACATGCTTACAAATCGTCTGGTGAACAGCTCTTGGAATAGAAGCTACTAAGCTTCTTTTGGGAAACTGTTTCCCAGAGGAAGCCATCATCACAACAGAGTCTCCCATTTAAAAAAACAATACAAACGGAGAGATCACACCAATTCCATGAACAATCAATATCTGCAAAACAGATTTGCGATTAGAATGTTTCCCTAAACAGAAATAAATAGCAATTCACTAATCTGAAACCACAATTATGGAAACTAAACGATGATTCCTCCTAACAAACTATGAGAATCAGCCAGAATCTAAGAAAATAGCAAAACGAATCACGAAAAATGATCTATGATCGGAGAAAAGCTTTGTAGATTCTTCGTTAACCTTGAGGTAATCGACGGATGACAGATCGGTTTAACGAATCGAAAACGTGATTCAGAGCAAATCGGTGAACTGATCGGAGGATCAAATTCTCGGCGGTGATAGGAGATTTCGTCTTCTCTTCTCCAAAGAGACGAAAACGAGAATTCGAAATAGAAAGAGGAAACACGGTGGTTGACACGTGTACTGTCCCAACTATATTGATGGCGATTGATTGTAAATCAACGGTCCAGGGGCGACAACGTCACGGGCGTTTTAAATACGTAGGCCACATTAAGACGCAAAACATCATCCCGTTTTTCTTTTATAATTAGTACATCAAATGGAAACGGTACGAAGTTTCTCACGAGAAAGGTAGAACGGCGTGGAGTTACATCGTCCAAACAAAAACAAGGCATTGTTTACTGTGTGAACAGGCATCCAACGCTTAAGAACAAAAAGCTTAAACATGTTCTTAAACAAACCAAAAACAAAGCTTCTTCTTCACAGAAAAACTTTTGAATAATAATAGTATAAGTTTTATGTCGTAAAAAAAAAGTATAAATTTTATGTCATGACAACACATTTTTTTTCGACCAAGCACTTCATTCACGCCTGAAAACGAGATATAAAAGATGCAAGACGGGTTTATTACAAGTAGAGTGTTTGGACAAGTTTTTTTTTTTCAAATGAAACTTTGATCAAAACATTTCTTGAGACTTTCTGACACAACGGCTCACTTTCTTCTTGAATTCGTCACGCTTCTCTCTCCACTCTTTCTGTAACAACAAGGAAAAATGGTTAACGATTCAAAAATGGTGACATCATAGGCTCATAGCTATACAAATAGAAAGAAAAAAAAAACACTAACAGCGGCTTCAACGTTTGCTGGAGATTCATCGTTGGGACCAGAAAGCATTGATATAATACTCAACATGATACTCTCAACCTGTAAATCAATAATTATGTTTTACACTCATCAAAATCATTTGCTTTACTAAGAGTGACAATAATGTTATGGATCATTTACTGTGTGAACAGGCATCCAACGCTCGCTTGAAAGCTCATATCCACTGGGGTCATCACCAGGAGGATGTAGAATAGATATGCAAACGCGACCATCAGGAAATACTACACAACATAAAAGAAAAAAAAAAGTTCAAACACAAGCAAGGAGACGCGTTGTTACATTCCTCCAAAGAGGGAGAAAGAACTAACCATTAGGATGCCATACATCTGAAGTAAACCGGACAGTGGGTGGGCTATTGGGATAGTTTGGTGGGAAAGACATAATGGCGTTGAAAAATCCTCCTTCACTGCATTTTTAGCAAGTTTATTACATAACTACGCTTAACATTTTTGTTTGAAATGAGTGAAGAGATAACCAGCACATATAATATAACTAAAACTAACATTTATAATTTGAAAGTCTGTTAAGAATTTCAGAAAATAGTCGAAGAAAACTAAATTATTATAAAGTATCCGAACTACGTAAAAGTATCCGAACTACGTAAAAGTATCCGGATATCTTTTTCCTAATTATTGAAAGTAAGCCGCGATTTTTTATCTAAATTATCCTATTTATTCGATATTTTATCCAAACTACTCGATTTACCAAAACTAACCGAACCAGAACAAAACCAAATGAAAAAAAAGATTTTCTGGTTCTTAGTTTTACTATCCGAACCAAAGGTCCGAAACTACCCGATTCCTAGTTTTACTATCCGAACCAAATCCGAAACTACACCCCTGAACCGAAAGCAGGCCTTACCCAACTACCCATACCTAAACCGAAATGCCCATGCCTACTCAGCAACATGAGTGAATCACCAATCCAATGTCATTCCAACAAACCGATCCGAATTTCGAATCAAGAACATATATATACATGACAACGAAATCTCTATGGATCAAAGAAAGAAACGTACTACAGAGTATCAGGAGGTCCGATAATTGTTACGCTCCATTCAAATATATTCTTATCATCCACCAAACCAGCAGAGAATCCATCAACGGGATGCTTACAAAGATCTGAATCAAAAACCGAATTCAACAAACAGAGAAAGAAAGAAAAAAAAACAGATTTGTTTTAGAGAGAAAAGATTCGATGGTTAACCTTTGAGTTGTTTCTGAAGAAGAAGACTAGCTTGTGAGGCCATGGTGGATGATAAGAAATCGAGTTGGAGCTCTTACTGATCTGAAAAGAAGATGTTACGGCAAATTGAATTGAGCTTTCTATTGATAGACGAAGAAGAAGGTTCAAAAGATGGGAAGGCTTTGGATATTTTGTTTTTTCTTTTTCTTTTTCATCAAGCGAATACATGGAAAGCGTATTAGCTACGGACGTGTCTTGTCTGCCCTAAGATTTCAACCAATGATGGCGGTATGGTCCATAAAGCAAATGAACATTTAGGCCCAGTTTGGAGTGTGGGCTGTTGAGACTTTATAAATGGACTTTGAGATCCATCAGTTAGGCAAGAAAATTAGTTTTTTATTTTTTTCGACGGCAAGAAAATTAGTTTACCTTCCAAAGGTTCACTAGTGCATAAGTTAGACACTAATCGATTGAGTGTATGATTCGTGAAGAATGTTTAGTATCGGGTGCATAGGTTTAGGTCTCCCCCTACGTCTAATGTTCATACGGTTTGTGTTATGCATGAGTTTTGTTTTCACTTTTCCCCTTACGTCTGCCATTATTAGATTTTATCTTGACTATGACTACAATCGAGCTGCTTATAAATTTTGGGAAATTACCAGAAATAACACTTTCAAGATACCACTTTTCAACTTTACACTAACCAACTTTACCATTAAAATTTTAATAGTCAAAATACTATTAGAATTTAGGGTTTTGGGTTTTGGGTTTAGGATTGATAGTTTAGGGTTTAGTGTTGATTTTTTAGGGTTTAGGGTTTACTTTTTAGGGTTTAGAGTTTAGGGTTTAAGGTTTAGAATTGATATTTTAGGGTTTAGGGTTGATTTTTAGGGTTTAGGGTTTACTTTTTATGGTCTAGAGTTTAAAATTGATGTTTTAGGGTTTAGGGTTAATATTTTATTTGATATTTATTTTTATATATATATAAAGAACAAAAATATAAGAGTCTTTTATCCTTTAATAAAATGTGTATTTTTGAAAACGTTCATTTATTATGGTAAACATGAAAAGTGGTACCACCAAAATGGTATAATTGAAATTCTCCCATAAATTTTCCTCCAATAAATTTACAGAAAATTATGAAAACGTGTTTGCCTATATTTGGTAGGTAAACTGACATGATATGTTGACAAAAAAAAGCTGTCAATGATCGATCTTCTTACCACGTGTTCTGCGTGGAATAAAGGTAACAAATCTGCCCCGACTAAATTTTATATATAAAAACAGGATTCTATAAACAAATTGAAACAGCTTCAGGTGGAGACAAAAAATGGTAAGTAAATTCATAACTCAAAATTTGTCGCTGAGTATTGGTCATTCACAACTTTTTCTTCCTTCTAATTTTATCTACAGTGCTGCGAAGTGTATTTATGTCATTCTTCTACAAATTAGTGCATTTGTATTATATAAAAGATGCATTTTGAATTTTGATGTTACCAAATATAGAAGAATTAATTGTTCAATATTTATAATTATTACTACAAAATTGTCATTACTCATAACGATTAGATAAATACTTACAATTTTGCAAATGAATATATTCACTTTATACTCGTTTTATGTAGACATTATACTATTTTTATTTATTTTTCTTCAGTAAACTTAATTACATTCTTATATATTGGATGAATTTTTTTTCTCTTTTGACTAAAATTAATTTATTTGATTTCAACATTTTAATAAAAATAGTATATATTTGATTCCTTTGGCCGTAAATTTATATATTCAGACATTTATATTAGCATTTGAAGATATATTTTACTATGGCTACAAATTTAATTAATTTTACAGATTTGACTAGGGTTCAATAGATTTGTTTATTATTTTAACATATTTATTTCATTTTGAAATTTTATGTAAGACTTGCTAGACTTGTTTACTGTTTGCTAGACTTGTTTAGATTTTCCTATTCATTAGTCACAAATTTATTTATGTCATTACACCAAAATAGTTATAGAAAACCATGATAAATTCCAAAAATTAAAATTAATTTGATTTAAATCAGATAATGTATAGCTGGTTATCGACACTTTGATCTATTGAATGGATTTTATCTAACTTCTTTAACTTTATTTATATTTAAATAGTAAAATATAGTTTTTTATGATGCACTTTTAAAAGTTAAAACTACGTTAAAATTCTATGAGTTTTTACCAATCATGATGTAGTTTTCTTTTTTGATAAAGCTAAAATTAAAAAAAAAAAAATCTTTGTGTAATAGACAAAATCTTACGTTTCTATTTTATGTTGTACAACTTAGAAAAAAAATATAATATGAAATAAACTACAAAGTTGTAAATAAATTTTATTACTATTTCGATATTGAATTTTCTACAATTTCAAAAATTATAGATAATTAAATATGCTTTTGAGTAATTTTATATACAATATAATGAAAGAAACAGAAAAATCAAAGCTCGTCAGAAGCAGAGTTTTTCTACTCTCTCTGGGAAATTGAGGCTCGTTGACACTTGGCATTAATCGTCAACCCTAAGTTTTTTTTCCTGAAGAGTTTGTGTTTTGGTTTCTATAGAATTTCATTAAATTACTTTTTCTATTTTTTGATATGTTAATGTAAGTAAATGAAATGACAGTTTCGTAATAACTAATAACAAAGATGGTTAATACAGTAAAACCTCTATAAATTAAAAATGTTGGGACTTTAAAATTTTATTAATTTATAGAGATGTTAATTTACGAAAGTTTTCTTATTTAGATTTTTTTATTTTTTCCATTTTTATATATAAAATAAAATAAAATAAAATATTAGATTTTAGCATATATACATTATTTAAATTTTAGAAATTTGACTTTTATATTGTTTATTATCTTATTTGGTGTATATTTTTATGTTTCATAGAATTGTTACATGATTTTCGATATAATTTAACAAAATATTATCAAAATATATTGAAATGTTTAAAAAATAAAAGTATTTTTATAGTAAATATAAAATTCCTAACAAAATATTATCAAAATATATTGAAATGTTTAAAAAATAAAATTATTTTATAGTAAATATAAAACCAACAATATAATATTAGATTGTATTTATATAAAATTATATATAGCTAGATTATTAATTTATGATTTTAGTGGGACTATATATTTACATGGCAGTTTTAAAAATATTATTATCTTATTATTTTATCAATTTGTGTCATATTTTACACCGGCTCAAATTGGAACCGGTGAAATTTATTAATTTATAGAGATTATTAATTTATAGAGTAGTAATTTATAGAGGTTCTACTGTATGTCTTAAACCATTCTAATGAACATGTCGAGATTAATAAGAGTTAGGTTAGTAAATTGTCTAAATGAAAGTTTTAATACCATCCAGATGTGTTGTTACAAACTTGAAATCAATAATACAAAGAATGTTTCAAAAATAAAAACACATGTAAATATAATATTATATAAACTATACCATATGTAATCTTTTTTCTTAAACAGAAACAATACAGTAAGGAAAAAATGTTGAATTCGTAGGAGTTCAAATATTTATATGACGCACATGTCTTCTAATGATTTATACGTCCTTTTATAGAAAAAGCAAAATATCTAACTATCATGTATATTAGTTCTAGCTAACCTGAGAATGTTTTTGACTAAGATTTTTAAAAATTGGATTGGTGTTCTTCATTTTAAAACTTATATGGAACATATGAAAAATTAACTTTTTATTCCTCAAAAATTTGTGATGTGCAGATTTAATATTCAAATACTTTTTTTTTTACAACGAAAGGCTGATCTATTACTTAAGTTTGAGGTGATATGAGAATCCAGACCGGAATAGAACAACCAACATATATCAGATGCCGATAAAATGATCGAGCAGTCTTAGCTAAAGAATCAGATGTAGCATTTTGGGATCTAGGAATATTAAGATTATTCACATATTTATTCCTCAATTAATTAGTGACTATGCAATATTAAGATTAGAATAGCCAATGTTTAAAATAGACAAAAATCGTTATTTTCTTGTTTATTGGTTAACGGTTGGTTATATCGTTCTCAGTTTTACGCATGCAACCGTTAGTTGGGAAATGATTATCGGCAATCAATACTTAATAACTAAAGCTGCTTATGATAAATTCTTAAAAACGAAAGCATATTTTTCCATTAGATTGGGTAGTTTTCCCAAAAATGAATAAAAATAAAATAAATAGCTACATTAGAAATGACACTGCATATTACGCGTGTTACACTACACTGGAAATGGTTGAATAAAAACTAAGTACTTATGGATGTAGAGATAAACTTGATTCCAGATTTAATAGAGAAGATCAAAGAGATCTAGAAAGAAGACAAACATTTTTCTCAAATCTCGAGAAAATATTTGATTAAAATTTATTATATTAGTGGTATGAGTCATCTTTTCATTGTTCAAGATAACAGCAAATTTATCCCAATATTTAAATCGTCTTTTAATTAATTAATTTTATTATAACATTTTGTTTGCTCATGCAATGATATAGATACCCTGCAATTATATAGCTACCCACTCGAACATGAAACAAAGCAACGTAAACGACATTTTAGTCAATAACTCAAACAAAGAAATGAGCGACATGCAGACTAAAAATCAGGTGGAGGATCCGATTATCCAAGAATCATTGCTTACTTGCATTGATCTGGCAAACACTGATCTTCACCAATCAGCTCTTTTGCTCAAGAAGGTCCGCCTGCATCCATTTAATTTTTATAAAATTTTTTTTTTCATTTTGTTAGAAATCAATGATTTTATTAGGGAAGTTTCTTGTTTCAGGCATGTCTGGATAGTGGATTCTTCTATGTTATAAACCACGGAATAAGCAAAGATGTCATGGACAACGCTTTCGAGCAGAGCAAAAAGTTCTTCGCTCTTCCTTTGGAGGAGAAGATGAAAGTGCTGAAAAACGAAAAGCATCGTGGCTATACACCTTTGTATGATCAAATCCCTGATCCTGAGAATCAAGTCCAAGGTACGTGTAACCCAGTTTTTCACTTCAAAAAGTTTTGTTGACTTCTCTCGAATCATGTCTTCTTTTTTTTTTTTAAGGGGATCACAAAGAAGGTTACTACATTGGATCCGAGGTTCCCAGAGATGATCCTCAGTGGGATCGGCCATTCTATGGCCCCAACCCTTGGCCTAATCCTGGTTAGTGAGCTCCTTTTTATT